GAGATACTGAAGGTGGATATCAAGCTTTCTTCGGCTTTTCATCCTCAAATTGATGGTCAAACGGAACGGGTGAACCAAGTCTTGGATTAATACTTACGATGCAGCATCAACTATCAGCAAGACAATTGGACCACATATCTGTCGCTAATCGAGTTTGCATATAATAACACCCTCCATGCGTCGACTCAATACACACCATTCTTTTCCAACTATGGGTATCATCTCAAGCTTGATTTATTGGGTCCATGAACAAATAACAATCCAGCTGCTGAAGGATTTGCGAAACAACTATCAAAGCTTCAAAATACGTTGAAGCTTCAATTACAATCCTCTGAAGAATCCTACAAGGGATCTGTAGATAGATTTCGGAATCAAGCACCTATTTTCAAAATTGGAGATAAAGCATGGCTTCTTCGATGGAATATCAAGACCAAGCGACCATGTGATAAGTTGGACTATCGAAGATTGGGACCATTTATCATCCAATAGCAAATCAATCCAGTGGCGTACCGTCTGGAATTACCGGCTTCTATGAAGGTACATCCAATCTTTCATGTCTCTTTGTTGGAGCCTTATCGAGAGTCATCTTTTCCTGGAAGAGTGCAATGTCCGCCACTCAGTATTGAGATCGAGAACCACAAGGAATACGAGGTTGAAAAGGTGCTAGATTCTCGGCGAAGGTGGGGCAAGTTGGAGTATCTTGTTCATTGGTGCGGCTACGACATTAATGAGAGAACGTGGGAGCCAGTTGAAAACCTCACCAATGCGCCACAAAAGGTACAGGAGTTTCATCAACAACATCCTCATAAACCTAAGCCGGTTCGACAATAGCTTCAATCTGAAGCTTGCTCACCCAAGAATATAAGAAAGGGAGAGAGCACCACCAAAATTTGTAGTTGATGTAGTTATTTTCTCCAAGATAAAATAGAATTTTTTCAGTAGCCATAGTTTGGTCTTCTGATATGGATAGCCAAGAGATAGATACTATGCCAGTCAGATTATCTCAATCAACTAGTTCACGAAGGCGACCTCGAGATGAAGAACCACCTGCACCACGACGACGACGGAGGATACCAAGTAACCGATCACTGGTGATTGTATTTGAGTCTGAGCCTACTTACGATGGTCAACCAGAAGGCATATTTGCAGGACAATTTCACAATGAAGACACGGAAGTTCATGCTTGGTCAGAAGTTGAAGGAGTGGGCCACTACCATTGGCTTCAAGGGCCGATGAACCACTTACCTCGCGAACAACAGTTGGAGTTCATAGCAGACGTTATACGACAGATCTTTATTTTCTTGCGTTGGTACTGATTGACAACAACATTGCTTCTCAAAGACCTCGAAGCTAAAGGAGGGGTTGATGTTAGGGACATAGTCCTTAGAACCTTTTAGAGACAAGTTTCTAGAACTTTTTAGAGACAAGCTTCTACAATCTTCTAGAAGCAAGTCTCTAGAACCTTCTAGAAGCTTCTTAGTTGATAGAAGATGTTAGGGACATAGTCCTTAGAACCTTTTAGAGATAAGTTTCTAGAACCTTCTAGAAGCAAGTCTTTGGAACCTTCTAGAAGCTTCTTAGTTAGTAGAAGTTGCTTGAGAAGCTTCCTAAATAGAAGTATATATTGGGATCGAGGCTGAAGAGTTCTTCAGTCTCGACAACACATCTCTTGGAGCTCTAGCTCACCTCTCTGGTGTTGTTCTTGTATTCATCTGATTAATCTAGTTCTTGCCAGTTCTTCTTGAACTTCTTGGTAGATATCAAGTCTGTATTCTCTGTCCGTGACAACATATTGGAGGTCCTATAGAACGTCGCCATGTAGCCTCTAGTTACATAGTATATGTAGAGATAAGAGTGAAGCACTCTTCACTCTTGTCAACTCCTTTCTTGCTTCTAGTCTAGTTTCAAGGGCCTCTAGTTTTCTTGTCTTTTGGCAATAGCCATTCTAATTTCTCTTTCAATATACATACTTATTTATTTATATTTTGTTACCTTTCTTTGAGTGAAGGCTCACTTGTCTGAATTTCTTTTTTATCGAGTTCTTATCCTTGACATGTTTTTAAAATTAGAAACCACATAGTTCTATACATTTTGAACTCTTAAGAGATTCTTTTTACAAATATGACTAGTTTCTAAAAAAATGCTTTTATAGATTTTCTACCATTTATAAATTGTAGCTGATTTCTATATAATTGTTTTTGTTTTATCCTAAATGTATCTTAAAGACACTTATAAAATTTATGAAGAATAATTAAAAATACACTTAAAATACATGTTTAGCAAAGATTGGAGGTGTCTTTATTAGACTAAAGTTCCAAAATATTAACATTAATATCTCTACAATAAATTAACTAAATTAGAATTGCTTCTCTACATACACATGGTCTAAATTATATGTGTCTCTTATCAATACTAAAGTTTTATTTTAATTTTCTTCTTGAATATCTTCATTGTTTCATTCCACTAGTTTAGATTTTTTGATTGTCTTTCCATTGCTATTTTACCAAGCATTGTTGCCAAATACAACTCCAACTATGACTTTTTATCTTTATTTATTTTTTTAAAAAAAACACATCAATTTTTTTATCTTTATTTTGATTATTTATTTATTTTCTTCTTCTTCTACTATTGTTTATAATTTCTATCTACTTCCTATGTACCAAACATTACTTAAGTCTATCTTATTTAAGTCATTAGATAGATGAGACTAAAATTGTATTAAATCCAAATAGCTATTTTTTTTCTCTCATTTCAAAAAACTATAAATTTTCAAGGTCTTAGTAGAACTTTTTTTTATTAATATCAATTTTTTTAAGTATAAGATAAAAATATGTTTTTTTAAGAGACCTTTAAACTATATGAGATTTGAAAAAATATATAATATTTAATTTATAAATTATCTAATATTATAATACTCTTTAGTTTTATATATGCAATTATAATGATGAAGGTGCATGTAAAAAATTATTCTATTTTAGATTTTCTTTAATTTCATATTTAATATATATATATATATACATATAAATTTAAATATAAAATTAAAATATAATGTATCAAATTTAGATTTATTGTAACATATTGTAATCAAAAATGATTTGTCTCTTCTTTTCAATGTTAAATTTTGATTCTAAGAAAATGGTGCATTTTTTTAAGAAATGTTTATAAATAATGGTATAAAAATATTTTAACATTGTACAAGACTCTTTTGTAAATATTTTGTAAAACTTAACTAAGAATTTCATCATATGTTCTTTTAAAAATATGTTAAAGGTTCATAAAATAATAAATAATAATAAAATATTGTGTATTAAAACATTATTGAAAAAAAACACATCACGTTGTTACAAAAATACTAGTATGGTCTGTGTGCCCCTGGTATACCCAGCTATCTTCAAAGACAATTTTGTTTTCTTTGTTTTATTTGAAATCAACAAAAATCATTACATTGAGTTGGTGATTTTAAATCTTTCAAAATAATTTCTTATTTAATATAAAATGTAAGGGAAACAAACATGTTATTTTGTTCTAATTTTATGGCAGAGATGGTTGTTTGACTATATATATATATATATATATAACAATTGTTTCAGTATCAGCAATGACTTGTTATGTTATAATCCATTACATATATAATTAAGCTTTGCCATTACATACAGAAATTGTTCTATTATATATATATATATATATATAGATCTTGACATAATAATTTCTTAACATATTTATTTTTAGTTATATTACTTTTTTATAATTGTCAGGATATAATTCAATTTTAATTACCTCATTGATAATATGAGATAAATTTAAAATCTTATAAAAATGTACAATTACAAAAATCAAAAATAGTGTATTGAAATATTTTTCAAAATAATATTTAATTTTTTTTAAATAAAATTTTAAATATAATGTGTGTAAATATAAAATATGTATATATGTAAATACAAATAGTTTTTAATTTTCAAAAAAACTATTTAGAATAAAACAACATCAATCAAATTTATATATTTTTTAATATTTTATATAAATAGAAAAAAAATAAAATTAAAATATTCTGATTTTAGAACATCTATTTAAAACATAAAATATTATATTTTATTGTATATATATTTATAGTAAAGTTAAATGCACATTGTTGATACACATCCCCATTTAGTAAGTGCCCATGACATTAGAAATGCAAAACAATGGGTGGCTTATTTGTTTCAGAATATCTATTTTTTTGTTTATTTTTTGTTTATGTTTTTTTTTATGTTTTTTATGTTTTTTTTTTTAATAGAAACATTCTTGGAAGTTATTTTATATGGTTAATTGTAGTAATCGACATTGGTAAAGAAAAAATAAATAAATAAATAAATAAATAAATCTTTGTCCATGTTATTATAATCATAGATTTACTCATAAATTCATAAGAGATCTAGTAGGATCATCCAAATAAAATTGACAACTTTTAATTATATTTATTTAGGAGAGTATATCTTAACTACTTAATTTTTAATTTTAAAAAATACTTTAAATTCTGAAATTCATTTATATTTTATAAAAATAAAAAATAGAAAATAAAAAAAGAAGTAATTTTTTTAATTTAAAAATGTATAATTTGTTTTGATAACAATACTAGATATGACTTGAGTTTTAGTCATACTCGAGTAAAATATTGTAAAGATCATGCTCAAATACATAATTAGTTTTATTTGAGGTTTTTAAAGAAAATATACCTATGTAAATTTATAGTTGTTTTAAAGATACTCAATTTTTTAAAAAAAGTGTGAAGAACTAATTTAAGTGTTATTGGCATATCCAAAAGAACCACAAGCACCGCTTGTTACCCCGCCACACGAGCACGGTAATATGTATTTACCCTTACGGTGCTCCCAAAGCTGTAATCCACAGCGGGACGCCGACCTGGCAGCCACCGACATCGAGGAACAGCTGTGACCAATGACCGACCACCTTTGGCCACTAATACACCGTGTGGACACGCGTGGCAGATATTTGTGGGCGGAGCCTGGTGTGCCAGCCTCGCAGACTGTGAGAACCCACGGTGATGAGGCAGATTCCGCATTTGTGTGTTGTTTTTTTGCTCTGAGGAATTGACATCGCTTTGGATTGGGACTGGGGCGCTTTGATGTGGTGATGTCAATTTTGGAGTCTTCGTTCGATTTGTGGCGAAGGTTTAGGGTTCACGAGGGATTACAAGTCTCGTGTTTGGCATTTGGAGAATGTTGGTGAAAGCAACTGGGAAGTGATCGGAGGGAAGGAGGCAAGATGGATGCTCTTAGACGCGCCGATGCGCACATTGCAGCTGCCACACATCCCCGCAGGAACCTCAGATGGCGATTGAATCGGTGAGTGATGGGTGACACGGTGTAAGTCGTTGTGTGTTTTTATTTTACTCGCAGAATGCGCGTGTAGGAATTCTGCCTTTGAGAAGTTCATGCAGTGGCGGAGTAATCCCCCTTCCAGTGTCTGCTTCTATGTTGTGTTTGTTGGTTCGATGCTAGAGATCACGAAAATCTCGTTTCTGTTCATCTCCTGATAGGCCTGTTCAAGCGGGGCTTGAATCTTGCTTCAATAGCCTAAAACGAATCAACCTCGTGTAACCTCTTGTGCTGAATGTGATCATCAAGATATCGTAGGTTCCTTCCCGCATTTCTTCTCGGCCTCTCGATAGTGTTGTCGTCTCCATTTCTTTTCTAATGTTTTTGACATGTTCGAGCAGAAGCTTGCAGACGAGATGTGGTGTAGTCTGTTGTTCGTGTTCTTAAAAAGACTTGAGTACCTCTTCACTGCATTCAGTCCGACTGTTTTACTAAGTAGTGTTTTTACACTGCAGCTACAACCCTATGCACCGATGGAACATGAAGAAGCACCACGTAACGCACCCCGTCACGTATCAGAAGCAGAAACTTAGGAGGAAGATCAATTACATAAATCCTCTTTTCTACCTGCGGCGCATCAAGAACAACTTGTGTGGAATTGTAGGCCATCACAAACATTGAGCATCACAAAAGCTGCCGTGGTCTGGTCTTAGCCGCACCTCTGCCTCGTCCAATCCACAGTTTGCAGGGCTGCATTTTTCGGTTATATGCCATTCGAGTAGTCCTGAAATCATTCATACTGCGGAGATTTGTGATTATGTTTTAGTTTTTTCTTTTTTTTTTAAATAAAGTGTTAACTGTAAAGAAAAGATTATAGTTTCTATCATGTAGCTGCGAGTTTATTCTTTGCAGCTGGATTCTTCACTTGTTGAAAGGCAAGTTATTTCTTCCTAGAGCAGGCTGCCGCTCGCATCTTGCTTGACCTCCAGTAATTAAGATTGCAAGCAGATTTGGTACTCTGATTTTGTATTTAAATCCTTTGAAAAAGAAATTGAAGATTTTGTGTATAAGATTCTTCGATTTTTTTCTATTTTTTACGTGAAAAAAATAAGGACAACAGCGTTCCTAGTAAATTGATACAGAAGATTACCTTGGTCAATGTTTCTAATATAAATTTTGTAACAATTTCTCTATCCAAAATAACAGAAGATATCTAGTTGTGTTTATTGTTTAAGCCTATAGAATTGTTTCGACCTTGTGTTGCACAATATTTATTGTGTTTTTATTTTTCAATCAAATCCTAGTTGGACTTCAAGCCTTTAAATCAATGGTTGTTGATACAAAATTTCAACGATCAATCATAAATCTGGTATGTATTGTTGCATCTATAAATGCTCTTTCTGAATAACTGTAAATATAAAATCCTATTGGATTTGAATACAAATGAAACATTAAGTATAATGAGGAAAAATTCGTAAGCAAATTTATTTTACTTTTGGATTCGGTACATTATATCTTTTATTTTACAAATTTTCGCTAACTTGACTGCTACTGTAAAACAGAGATAATCATGACAGACATCCTTAGAGAAGAGGTGATGACACGCATGCCTCAATAAATTCCCACACAAAGCTTTGCAGTGGTCCAAGGATTTCCTTATCAAATCACTCAAGCTTGATGGAGCAGTGCGATTTCAGTAGCAACTGGTTGACTTCGTTTAAGAGGAATGAATAGCACAACTTTCTCGGAGAATGTTCCTCTACCTCATGACTCACGCCTCCGAAGGAACGAATGGGATTCAGAACCTTTACATCTAGCACTGCTTTCAATGAATTATTTTTCATTTCTCTGCCTCAGGAAAGAACTCGCGAGGAATCGGCTGGCCTTGTCCCCCCTCCGACGCCATCGCTGCAATCGACCTGCCACCCTGGAGATTCGCTCCACTTACCAGATTCGCAGCGGCTCGGATGCCGTGGCATTATTAGAGATAGACTGAGTCCTCTGCCCGTTCCACCCCTATGCTGCGCTTCCATGTCGGTGATTGCAGCGTGTTCTTCAATTCCGTGCCCGATCGCATCGTATTGCACAGCCTCGTAGAATCGTGTCGTAGAAACCCCCATGTTCAATCGACTGGCTCGAGACAGCTGGGCCGTCAGATTTTCAGATTGAATCCTGGCCGTTACAGGATTTATTGGGAACGTAGGGTGGGAACGGAAGAGAACCAGGGTTCGGGCAGTTTGGAGGGCGGCAGGTTGGGAACTCAGAACCCATTCCTGATTGGGCCCGCACGGGTCCATATTCTACCCCCTCATTGGGCCCACACTGATCCACATACACATGGATGCGGAAGTTTATTCAGGGCTGCCTCTCAATCCCAATTTTCAACTATCACTCTTGCTTAAAAATTAATTTTCTGTTGCCATACACAACGGCACACATACATGTACATGATATTTTTGTTTCCAGAAAGAATTTTTGAAACTTAAAAAATTTACTCATTGATTTTTTCTCAAACACAGATATTTTATAAACAAGAATTCATTATTGATTATTACTTTTTACAAGAAATTAAATATAGATTGGCTAAATTTTAGTTTATTTTATTTTTATTAAATATCTAAATTACACGTAATTTATTAAAAATATTGTAAGATTTCTCTTCAATATATTTTCCAAATCATAAAACATAAAATATTTTTTGCTAGCATTATGTATCTAAGTAGTTTACAACTAAAACAAATGTAATAATCATAATAGTGTGGTCATAAAAACCACCACTAAAATAGGTCTTTATTATATATGATGGCAAATACCATATATGAACTATCATCAAATTAAATCAAATCCTTCTACAAAGCACCAAATTTGTATCCACATTCTTCATAAAATTTAAAGCTTTGAAGAAAAATTCTACATCCTAATCAACATTACATCCTTCTTTATTTAATTCAATATTATTTTCTTTTACAATCATGTGTTGGCAATTTTTGCACTCAATTTTGGTGACTCCAATAAAAAAACATGTTTAGAATATTATACTTTGGACATGCTTCTTTACACAACTTAAGTAGTCTTACTTGTGTACACTTTTTTTGAACAATTGTTTATCTTTGTTGTAAAACTTTGAATCCAATTGTCATGGAAATACACATGTAAGTCAATAATTACTTGTATAAATAGGTAGAAGTAAGTAGAAATAGGTAAAAATAAGTTAATTCTATAATATCTATTATAGAAGCTTTCTAGAAGCTTCAAAGATGTTGCTTTGATTTTATAGGTGTCTATAATTGACTTTTTGGATTAAAAAAGTGGTCAATAAGTTGACCATATGCCATACATGTTGTTAGCTTGAAGACCAAGCTAACTATATGGCCCACACATAGAAAAACTTGCCTTGTAAGTCAAGGCATATGTCCTACAAAGTCAACACATATTGGAGGTCCTATAGAATATCGCCACATAGCCTCTAGTTAGATAGTATATATAGAGGCAAGAGTGAAGCCCTCTTTACTTTTGTCAACTCCTTCTTGATTCTAGTTTAGTTTCAAGAATCTGAAGTTTTTTTATCTTTTAGCTATAAGCCATTCCAGTTTCTTTATAATATATGTACTTCCTTATTTCTATTTTGTTATTCTTTCTTTGATACGGATTTCATTAGTTTATACATCATCTTTTAGTTCATGTCTTTGACACCACCAAATTTTGGTGCCATTTGATTCTTTCTACCATATCCTTCTTCATTATCCATTTTTTCTTCTTCTTTTGGCTTCCAAATCTAAGTTTAGTACTTGTAACATGAACTTGTATAGAGGTGATATTACCTTATCTTGACATAGGTATTTATAGAGGTCTTGGTAATAAGTCCTTTATACCTTCTAAAAGTACCAAGTTTGATTTTGTTGCTTCATTGAATGAATCATATTGTTCTATAGTTAAGGCCTCCATTTTGTTTGGTACCATCAAACTTGTTATTTCAAACATCTTGTAGACTTGAATATCATGCCTAAGAATCTGAACTCTACTATCTCTTCTATTACTTGGACCATCATAAGATCTATCACTTGGGCCCTCATCAAGAATATCTTCTTCTTGATTAAAGAAACTATTTTTTTATATGGGCTTAATAATAAATCCAATAGATATTAATATTCTTTATTAACAATCCATCTGACAATCCACATGTATTTACATATGAGACTATAATCTTTGCATTCATACTATTTGCAAGATAAACTAACAATATACCATTTTATTGAAATATCTTGGCTTTGAAAGGCAAACTCTATAAGGCATGCATCAAAAACTTCCAAATTTGATAATTGGTCTTCTTTGTAATGTTTAACCAACCACTTTATTTTTTGTGACCTTGATATTTTTTGTTTGTCTCTATTCCTTAAAGAATATTTTTTTGATTCATTCAATATATTGATATCATTGTAGTATCATATCAAAGTGATTCTTCTAAAAAAATGTCATATATTTGGTTTGTTTATCAATACAATGATAAATTTATCTAGTTGTCAATTCACCTTTCTATTTAAATAGGTATATTTTACATATTCTTCCATACGTTATACAAGATTAATTAAACTAATATATCTACGGTAATATAACCTAGCCTATTTTTGCCACATTAGCTTCTATTGGCAACAATATCTTATTCAATCATTTTCTATATATTTAAGTATCATTTTATTTTTAGTATATATAATATTAAATCTTCTATATTCAATGTCAATTTTTTTCACTATTAGCTTTTAATATAAAGCATATTATCTTATATAAATCAAAATGCTTAAATTAAGGTAATTTAGGCAATAAATGTTCAATCCATGTTTTTTTTGTATGAAATCAATACAAAAAGATATAACACTTAACTTGAATTCTATCAATTTTAAAAAAAAATAATAAATACTAATAGTATTTTTTAAAGGCTATCATTAAAGCCTTATATTTTGTATTATTTTTATCAATTACTATTTCATTTGGTCAGATTATATCCATATTTTGAAATATGGCATACATTATAAGATATAATAACATTTGCTTCTGACTACTATCTTTATGAATGCTACAAAGCATTAAAAAAGTTGGCATCTCTAATTCCATTTAGATACATTTTAGTATACAATAGCATATTCTATTAGTTGGTTTTAAATGTTGAGTCTACAACCCAAGCCAAATTTGGTATAATATCTTTTGTTCTTTCAAGCATGTCTTTTGTTTGCATTACTAATACAAATGGTCACTTTTTTGCTATTGGATTCTCTAGATCATAAGCTTCATAGAAATTTATTTTAAAGAAAAAATGAAATTTTTGTTTTTCATGCAATGGAGCTTTTTGTCTTAAATTTTTTGAGTTGAATTGGCATAAACTTCAAAATCTTACTCTTCATTCTCTGGATATATAATTTTTACAAAAAAACTTACATCCTACATGTCTTTTAGATGATCACTATCTAAGTTTACCAATATTGTTGATTGAATCAATATCATTGTAATGATTTTATTTATTTTTTTTATTTTTATTTTTTTTCTCAATGGCACACAATGATTGCCATCTTTTAGGTATAAGGTATCTTTCTTTGATACTGATGGATTAATTTAAATACCAATACATATTCGGCCTTTAAATTATTCATAAATTCTTCTTGTTGGATAAAAAGAATTGTATAATATTATGTGGATTATTGAAGTTGTTGACCTTATAGATGAATCACTCTTCTAAATCTAGATTTTTCAAATTGACATTCACTACAAGTTTTAATATTTTTGGTGATGTAAGTCCTTGAAATTCCATACTTGCTCCCTCCTATCATTTATTTCAAATCATGTAATCTTAAAAGAAGTTTTGTATCTACAAGATGAATCCATCTTTTAAAATGTCCATTTCAAACTATTGATGTTCACTTGTCAATATATGAAATAACAAAGCTTGGATATTTTTTATTAAATAACTAGACTTTACTATTAGATAGCTTAAAAATCCCAAAATTATTTCTAAGAGTTCTCCATTTTTTCAAAATATTAATATGAAATACTTTAATTGAAGTTTCTTCTTAATGAAAAAAATTAACATC